TAGGATTCCAGAAACCCAACAGAAGAACAAAATTCCACAAGCAGTGAGAGAAAAGAAACAAATCACATAGAAAGGAAAGCCCATCAGAATCACAGCAGACTTCTCAATGCAAATCCTCAAGGCAAGAAGAGCTTGGAGTGATGTATTTCAAGCCCTAAAGGAAAACAGCCTCCAATCCAGATTGATGTACACTGCAAAACTATCTTTCAAAATTGATGGAGAGAATGTTACACCCAGCGAGAGAGAACCAACCAGAAACTGATATTAAATCCACACAGGAGTTCATTATCGGCTGGGACCCAAGCTGAGCATTGGACTCTAGCCCCAACTGGGGGGAGACTAACACATTTTATACACCTTTAAGGACAACAGTTTCTAGCCCCCCATGGGATAGAACTAGCAAAGCAAGCAAAAGGTACAGAAGCAGAACATTCTGCTGTTAGAACATTTGTAAAACAATAGTTGATTGTTGTTTCTAAGAGACTCTCTAAGGGGAGGAGGTTTCTAAGCTTCCTCCTTTTGAGTTTGTCTAAAGGGCAGGTAGGTGGGTCATTCAGCAGCAATATAGAGTCTGTCTTGCTAACTAGGGTCCTTCATTCCCCACTGGTTCTTGTAACTTAATCAAATCTTTGATTTCTGTATTTATTCTTCAGATTCTTCCTCTAAAACATCTTCTAAAATCTCATAATTTTGTCTCAACACCATCAGTTTAACTGCATCAACCCTCTGTCTAACATATTTAGTCAGAGAATTTATAATACAAGGTCCCACAAGCAAAAGCAGAAGTAAGATAACTAAGGGGCCTGCTACAGCAGAAACTAGGGTAGTTAACCATGGGGACCAGTCAAATAGATTTTGAAACCAACTTGGATCCTTTTGTTGAGCATATTTAGTCTTTAAAATTTCCCTGACCATAGCTAAGTTATCTCTAATGACACCAGACTGATTAGTATAGAAGCAACAGGTTTCTCCTAGGGCTACACATAACCCTCACTGTTTCATGAACAGGAGGTCAAGTCCCCTTCGATTTTGTAGGAACATCTCAGCTAGGGAATCAACCTGGTTCTCTAATCTGGAGATTGAGTCTTCCAGGTGACCCAAATCTCTTGCTGCTTGGTGGCTTAGGGCTTTAAAATTTGTGTCCTGAAGGATCAGGGAGGAAGTTCCAATAGCCGCTGACCGGCTATTCCTAATCCTATCAGAATGGGCACTAAAACGGGAGCAGCCCGTTTACTCCTATAGTGTTCAGTGGTTAATCCCAGATGTTTGTGACCCCCCTTTTTATTATAATACAAGACTTGTGGAACAACATACATGGTGACACAAAACAAAGTGGCAGATTGGGTAGCCAAGACTGATTTGGGAATGTATTTAGACAAGTCCTCAGTGCAAGCAAACCAAGCATATCAGGACCAGGTCTCCTGGCTTGAAACCGTGGGGCTGGAACATCACAAAGGGTTTTTCTTGAGCCTGTTGTATTGTAGCCTGGATCTCACTCTGAAGAATCTGTAAGGCTTCAAGAGAATGAAGTAAAGAGACACAAGAACTCTCTGTTATCTGTTCAAGGTTTAACTTAGGGAGGAGTGGCGGCGGCCTCCCATACAAGATTTCAAAAAGGGTAAACTTGTCAACATATAGGGTACATCTAACTCTTAACAAGGCTAGAGGAAGCAGATTGGGCCACCTACTGCCAGTTTCTAGAACATAGTTAGGGTTTCTTTCAGGGTCCTGTTCATCCTTTCCACTTGCCCTGAACTTTGTGGGCGATAGGCACAGTGTAACTTCCAATCAATATGTAGTGCCCTTGCCAACAATTTGGATATCTGTGCTGTGAAGGCAGGCCCATTGTCAGACCCCAGGTAATGAGGGATTTCAAATCGGGGAACTATGTCCTGGAGCAAAACCTTAGTTACTATGTTAGCTGATTCTCCACAAGTGGGGAAAGGTTTTACCCAATCTGAGTAGGTGTCAACGAATACCAGTAAATATTTGAACCTATTGCTTGATTTTATTTTGGTGAAATCAAGTTCCCAACGTTTCCCTGGCTCTCTTCCCCGTAGTTGATTACCTTTGCTCCTTGGTCTTACCTTGGAGTTTACCTGTGCACACACTTGACACCTGGAACTGATGTCCTGGACCATAGAGGTCAGTCCTGGGATTGAAAACATAGAACTCATTAGTCTTTTTAACTTTGATTCTTCCAGGTGAGTTAAGTGATGTAACTGATGAACAAGTTGACTCCCCAGGGCTCGGGGGAGACAAATTCGTTCATTTGTCCCTTTCCACCAGGCTGTGTCCAGTTTTGTACCCCCTTGTTTTTGGTTTTCCTCTTCCTCTTCTAGGGTATATGTGGGCCTTTCTGGCAGGTAGCCAAAGAGTGGGATGGGCAGAATGTTTATTGGCCCCACTGGTTCTCTGGCCACTCACCAGGGAGCATCATCAGCCTCTTGGTTACCCCAGGCCTTGAAGCTGTCTCCTTTTCGGTGGCTTTTGCAATGAATAATGGCCAATGCCTTGGGTTCCCAAATTGCCTCCAATAAGGCCAAAATTTCTTCTTTATTTTTTAATAGTTTTCCCTTCTGATGTCAATAGCCCTCTCTGCCTGTAGATGTCACCGTGCACATGGGCAGTGGTGAATGCATACCGGCTGTCAGTGTAGATGTTTACAGCCTTGTCTTGACCTAATCTCAGGGCTTGAGTTAAAGCTATTAGTTCAGCCCTCTGTGCCAATGTCCCCCAGTTTAATGCCTGTGCCCAGTGCATCTGTCCTCCTGGACTGACTATGGCTGCCCCCGCATACCTGACTCTGTCTTCCACGAAGCTGTTTCCATCAGTGAAGAAGGTCTCATCTGGGCTTTGCAGGGGAACATCAGTCAGGTCTGGGCAGTTGGTGGTGGAAATTGTCAGTGTCCAGACAGTCATGGAGGGGTATGTGTGGTCAGAGTCTGGGAGTAAGGTGGTGGCTGGATTAAGGGCCATTTCTTGGGTGAATTTGATGTGTGGAGCATCCAGCAACAGGGCCTGGTACTGAGTCAGGTGGACGTTGGAAAGCCATCATTCTGGGGCTCCTCTCAGCAACATCTCCACCACAGGGGGTGTGGTGATGACCAGGTCCTGTCCCAGGCTGAGCTTTTTTGCCTCTTTGACCAGGAAGGCGGTGGGTGCAACTGCCCTCAAACAGGTAGACAATCCACTTGCCACAGGATCAAGTCTTTTAGACAGGTAGGCCACAGGTCTGCTCCAAGGCCCTAAAGCTTGAGCTAGCACTCCTTTGGCTATGCCCCCTCATTCAGCCACAAATAACCAAAAGGGCTTGGTGACATCAGATAGGGCCAGGGCTGGTGCTGACACTAAGGCTTTCTTTAAAGCCAAAAAGGCACTTTCTCCTTTTCTGTCCAGAGGGACTGTCTCTTGTGCCTAGAGTGCAGCAATAGTGACTTTCCCCAGTTTTTTGGCTAGGATTTCCTTGGGGGCATCATAGTTATCATAAATTTTCTGGGCTATGTTCAGGAGTTTGATGCTAGTCTTTCCCTCAAATCCCTCCAATTTCTGTAATTTCTTTCTAATGTCTGGGTCCGACTGGGAAACAAAGGCCAGATTTAAAGCTGCTGCATTTTCGGGAGCCTCTGGGTCGATAGGAGTGAAAACTCTATAGGCTTCCAAGAGTCTCTCCAAAAACACACCCAGAGACTCCATTTTTCCCTGGCAAACCTCACTTACCTTACTCACATTAGTGGGCTTTCTGGCAGCTGTCCAGAGTCCCCCTAATAAGTGCTGGTGGTAGGTCCCCAGCCTCCTCCTACCATCATCATCATTGGGGTCCCATTTGGGGCATTGCAATGGAACCACTGTTTCAGCCCTGGCTGAATACCCCAGAGTTCCACGAGTGACACCGGGGTTTGGCCCCAGGGCCTCTTTGACTGACTGTTGATAAATGCATCCCACTCCTCAGTGCTGAACAGGATCTGTAAAAGCTTCTGGCAATCATCCCAAGTTGGCTGATGGGTATGGAAAACAGACTCAAAAAAAGAGATTAATGCCTGAGGTTTTTCAGAGAAGGGGGGATTTCGATGTTTCCAATTGTAAAGATCACTAGTTATAAAAGGGACATAAATCAATCCTCCCCCAGGCTCTGTTTGTTTTAAAGGAAAAAGGGAGGAGGAAGATGGGGCTGATGGACCATAGTCCTGTCCTGATTGAGTATGGGGAGGTGAGCGGATCTGGTCTGAGGAGGAGTCCGGAACCAGAGGGCCTGCAGCAGGAGATTCAGGGCCCCTCCCCCAGGTGCCAGTTCCACCCACGTGGTTAGGGGGAGGTCGGTGTAAATCATCCTCAGGGTCAGACTGGAGAACACCTTTACTGGTTGACACAACCATCAGAGAGGGGCTCTTTTCCAGTAGGTTTTGATTTCCCCTTCTCCTCCAATTCAGAGTTGCCAAAGGTTGATTGGGACCTGTACATTGTATAAAATATTTAGGGGGATCTTCCAACATATCGATCCAAATGTCAATATATGGGAATTGATTGGGATGCCATAGGGCCCTGACTCCTGTGACCACATTCCAACCCTTGTGAGCAATGTGCACAGAATAAGTTCCCACCAGGGGCCAACTGACTCCGAAACTTGGCCATTCTGATTGACACAGAATTTGCAATTTGCCTTTAGAAAATTTATGCCATATTCATCTTCTCTGTCTGTAGAATATTTTTTTTTGAAGTTATTCAAGATACAATCAAGTGGAGTTCCTTCCGTGGACTGTGAGGAACCCATAATTTTAGCCCGTGAAAATGCAAAAGGCACACAAAGCAAGCAGACAGACAGACAACAATAAACAGACAAAAACAAACTTTGGCCAAGTAAACCTCTGGGGCTGAGTGGATTCAGACCCTACCCAGGGAGTCACTCTTCTGAGGACTCCGACCCAGTGAGTCTGCTTGCCATTGCGAAGAGACTCTAGGTAAGGGAACCTGTGCCGTGTCTGGTTTCCTCTTACCTACCCACAGTGCACTAAGAATCATTCGATTCTTACCTCTAGAGGCTTTCCCGATAAACTCCTTCAGGTTGGTTGATTGACGATAGGGCCCAACTGGAACCGGCCTACCTGGAGCCCTGGAATGCCATCAGGGTGGCCTAGCCCTGGAATACCACCAGGGTGGCCTCTCCTTCCACAGACCAGTGTCCAGAGGGTGTCCGATCCTGGTCTCTCCTAAAAAGAAACAATAGGTCTAAGATAATAAGCTCCAGAGCAGCTGGTTATCTCACTGGGGCCTCCAAGAATGTTACACCCAGTGAGAGAGAACCAACCAGAGACCTATATTAAATCCACACAGGAGTTCATTACCGGCTGGGACCCGAGCCAAGCATCGGACTTGAGTCCCAACTAGGGGGAGACAAACATGTTTTATACATCTCTGAGGCCAACAGTTTCTAGGCCCCCCTATGGGATAGAACTAGCAATGCAAGCAAAAGGTACAGAAGCAGAACGTCCTGTTGTTAGAACATTTGTAAAACAATAGTTGATTGTGGTTTCTAAGAGACTCTCTAAGGGGAGGAGGTTTCAAGCTTCCTCCTTTTGAGTTCATCTAAAGGGCAGGCAGGTGGGTCATTCAGCAGCAATATGGAGTCTGTCTTGCTAACTAGGGTCCTTCAGAAATAAGATACTTTCACGATAAAGAGCACCTTAGGAACTTCGTGAATACAAAACCAGCACTCCAAAAAATTTTAGACAATATCCTAGGAAAGGGCAATGAGGATCACAACCCCAGGAAGCCTAGCAGAATGAATCCATTGGGTGTGACAAATTAAATGCAAAGGGGGAGAATCCAACGAAAAGAAGAAGTCATGACAAGGCTTTTAAAACTTTTAACTTCATCTCCCTAATGAGTGTATAATTCA